GGTAAAAGGGGTCCCGGGGGTTTAGGCGGGAAAGGGGGGTTTAAGAAGTGTCTGTAGGCGGGAAAGGGGGTAGAATGTGCCGGGGTTGGCAGGAAGGGGGTTTTAGAAGTGCCTTAGGCAGGAAGGGGGTAAAAGTGCCCTGTAGGAAGGAAGGGGGTGGAAGTGCCCTGTAGGCGGGAAAGGGGGGTTAAAAAGGCCCCTGTGGGCGGAAAGGGGGGGGGAAGGTCCTGTAGGGGAAAGGGGGTTTTAGAAGTGCCGGTAGGCGGGAAAGGGGGTTTTGGGAAGTGGGCGGGAGGGGGAAAAGGGGGGTTAAAAAAGTGTCCTGTGGGAGGGAAGGGAGGGGGGGGGGAAGGGGCCCTTTTGGGCGGGAAAGGGGGGGGTTATGTGTCCGGTAGGAAGGGAAAGGGGGGTAGAAGGGGCCCAAAGGCGAAGGGGGTAGAAGTGTCCGGTAGGCCGGACGGGGGTAAGAAGTTCCTGTAGGTCAGAAGGGGGTAGTAAGTGCCCTGTATGGCAGGAAGGGGTAGAAGTTGTCCGGTAGGCAGGAAGGGGGAGAAGTGTTCCGCTAGGCAGGAAGGGGGTAGAAGTGGTCCGTAGGCAGAAGGGGGTAGAAGTGCCCGGTAGGCAGGAAGGGGTCGAAGTGCCCGGTGGGCAGGAAGGGGGTAGAAGTGCCCGGTAGGCAGGAAGGGGTAGAAGTGGCCCGGGTAGCATGGAAGGGGTAAGAAGCTGTACCTTAGGCAGGAAGGGGGTAACGGACAGTGACCCGTAGGCAGGAAAGGGGGTAGAAGGTCCGGTACGCAGGAAGGGGGTAGAAATGACCTGTAGGCAGGAAGGGGTAGAAGTGTCCTGTAGAGCAGGAAGGGGGTTAGAAGGTTGTCCTGTAGGCAGGAAGGGGGGTAGAAGTGTCCGGTAGGGCAGGAAGGGGTTAAAGGGTCCTGCAGGCAGGAAGGGGGTAGAAGTGCCCCTGTAGGCAGGAAGGGAGTAGACCGTGGTCCCGTAGGCAGGAAGGGGAAGGGGGTAGAAGTGCCCTGTAGGCAGGAAGGGGGTGTAGAAGTGGGTTGCCTCCTGTAGGCAGGAAGGGGGTAGAAGTGCCCGGTAGGCAGGAAGGGGGTAGAAGTGCCCGGTTGGCAGGAAGGGGATAGAAGTGTCCCTGTAGGCAGGAAGGGGGTTAGAAGTGTCCTGTTAGGCAGGAAGGGGGTTAGAGTGTCAGCTGTAGCAGGAAGGGGGTAGAAGTGCCCCTGTAGGCAAGGAAGGGGGGTAGAAGTGCCCTGTAGGCAGTGTTAAGGGACTGGTATGAAGTGTCCTGGTAGGCAGGAAGGGAAGTAGAAGCAGATGCCCCTGTAGTGCAGGAGAGGGGGTATCAAGTGTCCAACCTGTAGGCAGGAAGGGGAGTAAAGTGATACCAGCCATGTTGGCAGGAAGGGGGGTAGAAGTGTCCTGTGTAGGCAGGAAGGGGGGTAGAAGTAGTCCGCTGATAGGGCAGGAAGTGGGGTAGAAGTGTCCACTAGGCAGAAAGGGGGTAGAAGTGTCCGCAGTAGGCAGGAGGGGGTAGTAGTGTCCGCTAGGCAGGATAGGGGGTAGATTGTGCCAGTAGGTTTGTAGGGAAGGGTGGGTCTTTGTAGAAGTTGTTACCGGGTAGGCAGGATAGTTTAGGATCTTAGATCCATGTATGTAGCATCTTGTATTGGAAGTGCACCTGAGCACTGATCACTTACTGTGGTTGTGTGTGATTTCCCCGAGCTCACAAGGGGACTTAGGTTTTGAATTTTATGTGAGTTGGGAGGATATATTATATTATTTCTGAGAGGGTTACCCACTTTATATGGTTTCTTTTATTAATGTGATTGAGCACCTATCACGAGGCGTGCGTATGGAACCTCTCAGCGTACACCGTTCATATACCGTGGTGCTAATGACCTCTGAGACGCGTACACCGTTCATATACCCGTGCGTATGACTCTAGCGTTACACCGTTCATATACCGTGCGTAAATGACCTCAAGAGCCCGCCTGTCACACCGTTCATGATTTTAGACCGTGCGTATATGACCTCAGCGTACACCCGTTCATATACCGAGCGTATGACCTCAGCGTACACCGTTCACAACTACCGTGCGTCCATGACCTCTCCGCGTTCACACGTTCATATACCGTGCGTATGACCATCACCGTACACCGTTTCATATACCGTGCGTGATGACCTCAGCGTACACCGTTCAATATACCGTGCGTATGACCTCAGCGTACACCGTTCATATACCGTGCGTATGAACCTCAGCGTACACCGTTCATATACCGTGCGTAATGACCTCAGCGTACACCGTTTCATATACGGTGCGTATGACCTCAGCGTACCCCGTTCATATACCGTGCGTATGACCTCAGCGTACATACCGTTCATATTACCGTGCGTATGACCTGCAGCGTACACCGTTCATATACCGTGCGTATTGACTCCTCAGCGTACACCGTTCATATACCGTTGCGTATGACTACACCATACAACCGTGTTCATATACCGTGCGTATGACCTCCAGCGTACACCGTTCATATACCGTGCGTATGACCTCACCATACACCGTTCATATACCAGTGCGTTATGACCTCACCGTACACGTTCAAATACCGTGCGTATGACCTCAGCGTACCCCCACCCCCACCGTTCATATACCGTGCGTATGACGCTCAGCGTCATGTACACCGTTACATATTATACCGTGCGTATGACCTCACCATTACACCGTTCATATACCGTGCGTATGACCTCCAGCGTACACCGTTCATATACCGTGCGTATGACCCTCAGCGTCTTACACCGTTCATTATACAGTGCGTATGACTCAGGCGTACACCGTTCATCATTACCGTGCGTATGACCTCAGCGTACACCGTTCATATATACCGGTGGCGTAATGACTTCAGCGTACACCGTTTCATATACCGTGCGTATGACCTCAGCGTACACCGTTCTATATACCGTGCGTATGACCTCAGCGTACAGCCGTTCATATACCGTGGCGTATGACCTCAGCGTACATCCGTTCATATACCGTGCGTTGACCTCACCATACACCGTTCATATACGTGCGTATGACCTCAGCGTACACCGTTTCATATACCGTGCGTATGACCCTCACCATACACCGTTCATATACCGTGCGTATGACCTCTAGCCGTACACCGTCATACCGTACCACCGTTCGTTCATATTGATACCAGTGCGTATGACCTCACCGTTACACCGTTCATATACCGTGCGTATGACCTCAGCGTACACCGTTCATATACCGTAGCGTATGACGCCATCACCATATTACCAACCGTTCATATACCGTGCGTATGAACTCAGCGTACACCGTTCATATACCGTGCGTATCTGACCTCAGCGTACACCGTTCATGTATACCGTGGCGTATTGACCTCAGCAAAAACACTGTTTTGAGCACATTATGTACAGTATATAGATGTTTGATTTTTTCCACTCATTTGTGGTATGTTTTTACTGCATGTTTTTTGGATTATAATATTTTGATTGAATTATTTTTAGCTCTGGCATCTTAATTTATTAGTTTAGTTTATCACTGTAAAGGTATCAGTTCAGAGTGTCGGCCGCTTTAATATATAGGTACCACTTCTATAAGCGCCCACCCCAGGAGCTACGCCCATATGGAAGAAAATATATTTGAAATACTACAATTTTGGCCATATTCAATACATTTCAAAATATATTATTATATATATATATATATACACACACTACAGGTTTGTGAAATGCATTTTTATTACAAAATATATATGAAAAGTATTTGTAAAAAATTATTTTTTTTATACCACATGTCGCCCAGCCACTGTAGAAATACATTGGCAGGGCGGCACAGCTGGGCAAACTGTGTCCCGCCGATTAGCGGCAATCACTGACAGAGAGCACAGCTGCAGTAGCTGTGCTTTCTGCCAGTTCCCTGTCAGCTCCTGACATGCTGATCCGGAGAGAAGAGTTTTATCTCTCCCGATCAGCGTGTCCCGTGCAGTACACACCCCCGCCCCCTAGTAAAACACTCCCCTCACACAGTTAACCCTTTCAGTAAATAAAAAAGTTAACCCCTTCCTCCCCAGTGCCATTAGTACAGCGTCAGTGGTTTTTTTTTTGCACTGATCACTGTATTGGTGTCACTGGGGATATCAGTGACCCCAAGTCAGTTCCCCCCCAGTGTCAGAATGTCCGCCGCAATCCCGCCATAAGTCGCTGATTGCCGCCATTATTAGTATAAAAAAAAAAACTAAAAATCCCAGTATCTTTTCCGCCATTTGTAAACGCTATAACTTTCACGTAAACCAATTAATTTACATGTATTGGGTTTTTTTTTTTGCAAAGACATGGAGCAGAATGCATTTTGGCCAAACTTTATGACGAAATTTTATTTTTTAATTTTTTTTTACTGGACATGATTTATAGCAAAAAGTCCAAAATATTGTTTTTTTTTTCTCAAAATTGTCAGCCTTTTTTTTTATAGCGCAAAAAATAAAAAACGCACAGGCAATCAAATACCACCAAAAGAAAGCACAATTTGTGGGAAAAAAAGGACATAAATTTCATTTATGTACCGTATTGCATCACCGCACAATTGTCCGTTAAACTAGCGCAGCGCTGTATAGCAAAAAAATGGCGTAAATTGCAGTATTTATACCATAGTTTGTAGACGCTATAACTTCCACACAAAGCAATCAATATACACTTTTTGGGATTTTTTTTACCAAAAACATGGAGCAAGAGACATTTTGGCCTAAATTTATAACTAACTTGGAGTTTGCTATATATTTTTTTATAGCTGAAATTAAAAAAATATAGTTTTTCTTCAAAATTTTTGGTCTTTTTTTGTTTATAGCGTGAAAAATAAAAAGCGCACAGGTGATCAAATACCACCGAAAGAAAGCTCTATTTGTGTGAAAAAAAGGACGTAAATTTCAGTTTGGGTGCAGCATTGCATGCATCAGTTGAATTAGTGCAGCGCCGAGTAGCAAACAGAGGCGTGGTCATTAAGGGGGGTAAATCCTCAGGAGGGGGAGGGGTTAAAATATATTCTTCAGATTTTTTTTTTAACATATTAAAAAGTATTTTAACATATATTTGTAAATGCGTTCCAAAAATGTAGATTTGTATTTTTAAAGGCATACAGTATATTTGAAATGTATTTTTAAAAATATTTTTCATATATTTTGTAATAAGAACACATTTCAGCATGCAGTATATATATATATATATATTATATATATATATATATATATATTACAAAAAAGTATATATATATATATATATATATATATATATATATATACTGCATGTGTTTAAAATACATTTCATTTTTCATTTTATATGTTAAAAAAAATCTGAAAAATATATTTAAAAAATATATTTTTAAAATATATAATTTAAAAAATATTTTTCATATATTTTGTAATAAAAACGCAGTTGTAATATATGTATATAGATATAGATAGATATGTATTTATGTATTGAAATATATTTTGAAATATATTGAATCCGGCCAAAATTGTAGTATTTCAAATATATGGCAATATATTTGGGAAGAATGTTTTTAAAATATATTTCCAATATATTTTTCTTCCATGTGGGTGCCGAATGGGTGTAGCCAACTCAGTAGATTACCTAACGGCCTCGGTGTGTTGGGTGTGTTGCTGAATGTACAAAATAGAACCAGCTATTGATTTCATGAGTAATAACGCCATAGATCCCTGGTGTCCACCCTGTGGCCCCCGGGGGGGGGGGGGGGGGGGGGGGATACATGGGGTCCTTTGGACATTTTTGTGTGGCTCTTGGGACCCTTGCAGACAGTAATGTGTATTTTCCTCTCGCCCTGTGATAGCACGGATCCCTAGCAGTCTCGGGTAATGAGTCTCCAGTCTATGTCTCTGGAAGTGTCACGGTTCCTGCGGTGCGTCTGCACTCTCTGACCTTCCCTTGTAGTTTATGACCGTATTCTGAGGCACGTCTGCAGTCTCTGACAGCAATGACATTCATTCAATTTTATTTGTGTCCTATGGTGATGAAGGGCCCTCAGACAGACAGCTTAACCCTTCAAAAAAAGACACGGACGTGGAACTTCAGATAATTGCGGTGGTTATGGTATCCCCTTTCTCCTTTGTTTGTTCGTTGGCCATGTAAAGCCGGCCACACACACGGGTCCAATTCCGAAAGAATTTTCTTTCAAAAATCTTTTCTAATAATTTTCGTTCGAATTTCGCACCATTAGTGGGTCACGGAAACGGCCGATTTTCGTGTGATCATCGAATTTGAGTGATTTTTAAAGTCGCGTAATAGATTTTTAATGGTACAATTCTGAAAGAATTATCTTTCGGAAATCTTTTAGACCCCATTAGTGGGTCACACCCACATGGAAGAAATAATATATTTTAAATATATTTTTCAAAAATATTCTTCCCAAATATATTGACATATATTTTAAATACTACAATTTTGGCCGTATATTTAAAAAAAATAAAAAAATGATATATACATATATATATATATATATATATATATCTATATATATATATATATATATATATATATATACTGTATGCTGAAATGGGTTTTTTTATATATTACAAAATATATTGTAAATACTACAATTTTGGTCGTATTCAATATATTTAAAAACAAAAGACAGAGGGAAAAAACAAAATCACATAGTAAACAAGTTTCAGTGGCCCAAAACCTCCACTAGAGGTCAGCATACTACTGAACAATAATAACAGATGCAGTTAAATGCAACAGAAAAATTACAAACTTACATAAGAGTGGGGAAGAATGCTTTATGAGGCTTTTTTTTTGCCATTCTCTGTATCACCTGCAGGTTTGGGGTTCTGAGGATGCAAATTTATAACATAATGTATATATATATATTTTTTTCTTTTGGTCAAAATCCGTGGCCATTGTGTGTTTCATTCAACCTGACTATGTAACTTGGAAGAAAATTTTTTTACCTGGAATCCTTCTAATTTTTTTCAGAAAACATCACATTAGGTTGCCGGCAATCACAGAACCCCATATATACTATATTGCCAAAAGTATTGTCCCCACTCCTCCCAATCATGTGATTCAGGTGTTCCAATCCCCTCCCAATCATGTGATTCAGGTGTTCCAATCCACTGCCATCATGTGATTCAGGTGTTCCAATCCACTCCCAATCATGTGATTCAGGGGTCCCCATCCCCTCCCAATCATGTGATTCAGGTGTTCCAATCCACCTCCCAATCATGTGATTCAAGTGTTCCAATCCCCTCCCATCATGTGATTCAGGGGTCCCCATCCCCTTCCCCTCCCAATCATGTGATTCAGGGGTCCCCATCCCCTCCCAATCATGTGATTCAGGTGTTCCAATCCCCTCCCAATCATGTGATTCAGGTGTTCCAATCGCCTCCCAATCATGTGATTCAGTGTTCCAATCCCCTCCATCTCACGTGATCAGGTGTTCCAATCCCCTCCCAATCATGTGATTCAGGTGTTCCAATCCCCTCCCAATCATGTGATTCAGGTGTTCCAATCCCCTCCATATCACAGGTGATATCAAGTGCTCCATCCCCTCCCAATCATGGCAGGTGCTCCAATCCCCTCCATGGACTGTATACAATCAAAGGCATGCAGACGGCTTCTACAAACATTGGTGAAAGAATGGGTCGCTCTCAGGAGCTCAGTGACTCCAAGCGTGGTCCCGTGATAGGTGGCCACCTGTGCAATAAGTCCATCCGTGACATTTCCTGGCTACAAAATATTCCACGCTCAACTGTTAGTGGGATTATAACAAAGTGGAAGCCACTGGGAACAACAGCCACTCAGCCACCAAGTGGTAGGCCACGTCACATGACAGAGCGGGGTCAGCGCATGCTGAAGCGCACAGTGCGCAGAAGTCGCCAACTGTCTGCAGAGTCAATAGCTAAAGACCTCCAAACTTGGTGTGGCCTTCAGATGAGCCCAACAACAGTGCGTAGAGAGCTTCATGGAATGGTTTTTCCATGGCCGAGCAGCTGCATCCAAGCCTTCCATCACCAAGTGCAATGCAAAGCGGCGGATGCCGTGGTGTAAAGCACGCCGCCACTGGACTCTAGAGCAGAGGAGACGTGTTCTCTGGAGGGACCAATCACTCTTCTCTGTCTGGCAATCCGATGGGCGTGTCTGGGTTTGGCGGTGGCAAGGAGAGCGGTAGTTGCCTGATTGCATTGTGCCAAGTGTAAAGTTTGGTGGAGGGGAGATTATGGTGTGGGGTTGTTTTTCAGGGGGTTGGGCTTGGCCCCCTAGTTCCAGTAAAGGGAACTCTTAAGGCGACATTTTGGACAATTTCATGCTCCCAACTTTGTGGGAGGAGGAGTTTGGGGATGGCCCCTTCCTGTTCCAACATGACTGCGCACCAGTGCACAAAGCAAGGTCCATAAAGACATGGAGGAGCCAGTTTGGGGTGGAGGAACTTGACTGTCCTGCACAGAGTCCTGACCTCAACCCCATAGAACACCTTTGAGATGAATTAGAGTGGAGACTGCGAGCCAGGCCTCCTCCCCCGACATCAGTGCCTGACCTGACAAATGTGCTTCTGGAAGAATGGTCCAACCTTCCCATAGACACCCTCCTAAACCTTGTGGACGGCCTTCCCAGAAGCTGTTATAGCTGCAAAGGGCGGGGCCAACTCAATATTGAACCCTACGGACTGAGACTGGGGGGGCCATTAAAGGTCATGTGCGTGGAAAGGGGGCGGGACCAACTCAATATTGAACCCTCAACTAAGACTGGGGGGCCATTAATATGTGCGTGAAAGGGCGGGGTCCTCAATATTGAACCCTAAGACTAAGGGGGGGCCATTAAAGGTCATGTGTGTGGAAAGGGCGGGGCAACTCAATATTGAACCCTATGGACCAAGACTGGGGGGGCCATTAAAGGTCATGTGTGTGGAAAGGGCGGGGCCAACTCAATATTGAACCCTACAGACTAAGACTGGGGGCCATTAAAGGTCATGTGCGTGGAAAGGCCGGTGACCCAATACCTGGGGCAATATAGTGTACTCTACTGTGGATGGGGTGTCCTCGCTGTCCTGATAAAAGGCGATTCATGCCGGTATTCTGCCGTGTGTCATACAGTCACACGTCATCTCCTTGCACCCCGCAGTGTATGGCATCTGCAATGAATTGTAATGACTACACATGTATGGTGGCTCGGCCTCTCACCTCCCGACTCTCCCAATTACTGTCAGGTCAGTGTTAGCGCAGAGCCAACTCAATAAACCATTCTGTGCCGTCTAATTGCATTCAGCGGAATGACAGGCTCACCCATCTCTATTACCAATTCATCGCACCGCGCTCCGCGTGGAAGATAAATCTCCGTTCCGTCAATGTTGGATTGTTTTGGGCACCATGGTGCTCGTCTACAGAAACTGGAAGAAGGAGAAAAAAAAGAAGAAGGAGAAATGAAGGGAGTCCTCTGTAGAGAAGTATATTGATCTCCGCAGGTCTCCAGTTATTGATCACAATGATATGTGTTAAAATTGGGCTCATCAGCAAAGACTCATTCAGCCCAGCCCCCCCTTTGGATGATCCCGCACAGTTCGACTGATCAACCTCAAACAACATGGCCAGCCCAAGCGTTGGCGGTAACACACATGGGGTGCCACATTACAAGAGACTTACACTTGACATGTGCATATGGAAGTTTTTTGGTCTCGGAGAACACCCTGATGTTTGCTTCTTCTGTCCAAAGCACCATCCTGATCCCCATAACTCTTTACGATTCTACCTTCTGGCCCAAGATGAACAATATGGAGTTCCCAAATGTTGGCGTTAAGACCAGGGGTGTATTTACCACAAGGCAGACAAGGCACTTGCCTAGGGTGGAATTTTTCAGGGGGGGCAGCACCTCCCCCTACAAGAAGGGAGGAAAGAAGGGACACGTGCACAATGGGAACCAGGTAGGATCTGAGAGAGGCTGTGGGCTGTTTGATGGTGTATGTAGAGCCTGGTTCTCGCTCCCGGGGATGTCCAGAGCTGTGAAGATGAGTGTCTCTCTATCGCCAGGGGGGCGGAAGTGGAAGTGGAAGGCTCTCCCAGGTGGGGTGCAGGGGTGTTGTTGGTCAATGTCATGTCTCTCTCCGTGGGAGGGGGAGGGGGGGGGTTGTGTTGGTCGGTGTCCATGGGGGTAGATGATTTTTGTGTTGCCTAGAGCAGCACAAAACCTAAATACACCCCTGGTTAAGACACATAGCTTGCCACATGAAACAAAAAAAATTAAAACTTGAGAGAGAAAAAAACACAGCGTGGGGGGTCTTCCCTCAATCCATACCAGGCCCTTATTATTTCTTCGTGGAGCTGTCATACGGTGAAAGCCAGTGTCGGGTGCAGAGCTTTTTTTTTTTCCAGGTTGGCGGCGTTCATCGTGATGGACGCTGGAGATCATTGTTTTTATTTTTTGTTTTCTACAATGTACCCCATACTCATTCACATGGGGGGGGGGTAGCTGGGATCTGGGGGTCCCAGATACTGATAAGCCCCCCACCAGAAAACCTTACCAACCACCACCCAGGGTTGTGAGGAAGTGGCACTTGTCCCCATCAACATGGGGAAGTGGCACTTGTCCCCATCAACATGGGGAAGTGGCACTTGTCCCCATCAACATGGGGACAAGGTACTTTGGGGGGGGGGGGCAGCAGCCATGTTGAAGGCATGTGGCCTGATGTGGTTAATGAGGGGTGGGCACTTGCTTGTTCCCCCCCTTTCCTGACCTGCCAGGCCGCACACTCAGAAAAGCATCTAGTATGGACCCCACGCCGTTTTTTAAAAAACTTTTTTATGGGGTTCCCCTTAAAAATCCATACAGACTTGAAGGCCTGATATGGAATGTGGGGGGGGGGGGGGGGGGCGCGCCCATGCTGTTTTTTTTTCTCAAGGAATTTCTGGCAATTCTTTTGCTTTCGCTTGGCTGTCAGCAGGGGTGCTGGCAGCTGATGAGTCATCCGTTGTTAGGACGTGGCTGCTTAATGGTTCTCAAGGACGCCGGCGGCCACCTGCTGAGGAAAAAAAGATGCTGGAAACTGGCTATTAGCTGTATATACCAGAGTTTAGGAGCTTTCAGTGTTTTGTTTTTTTTCTGCCAGCAGATAGCTCCTGAAAATTTAAAAAAAAAAAAAAAAAATCTACTCCTATACACAGAAGCTTCAAAAACGCTTCTAGACTACAATTGTGTGCATGGACACATAGGAGAACATTACTTTCTTCTAGAGGCAGAAAAGAAAATGCCCAAATACTGCTGCTAGGCTTTACTAAGCTTGTATGCATGGAGCCTAAAACTTGGTATGCACTGATAAGAAGTTCTCCTTTGGTCTCCATAGCTTCAGCAACTACTCATCCTTTGAGGTGAACCCCTGTTATTATTGGTTATTTTGTCCAATGCACCATATTATCCACCTTCACATCTTACTATCCCACCTTTTGGCCAACCACGGACAATATGGCTGTCCTAAACCTTGGTGTTAAGACACATGGGGTGCCACTTTACAAGAGACCTAAACTCAGCACGTGTGTATGAGAAGTTCTCCTTTGATCTCCATCTACTCATCCTTTGAGGTGAACCCCTGTAATTATTGGTTCTTCTGTCCAATGCACCATGTTATCCACCTTCACTTCTTACTATCCCACCTTTTGGCCAACCACAAACAATATGGCTGTCCTAAACCTTGGTGTTAAGATACACGGGTTGCCTAAACTCAGCATGTGTGTATGAGAAGTTCTCCTTTGATCTCCATCTACTCATCCTTTGAGGAGACCACCCTGACTTTTGCTTCCTCTGTCTAATGCACCATCCTAATCCTTTTCCTTCTCACAATCCCACCTGTTGGCCATCCCATCCCATTTTAATCTTTTTTTCCTTCAGCAATGTTTGCTTCAACACCTGATGGCTTACTCATATTGCGCCTTTTCAATGCATCCTTCTCCTTTCCTGTGTGTCCTCTCTCCCGGTCTTGGCCTACCTTCACCATTCAAAGTAAAAAGATATTTTGCTAGGTAGGCAATACATTTTGACAGGAGCTCCTTGTTCAAAGTACATTTACTACCCATAGAATTTTGTCACAAGATGTGGTGGACTCTGTGGAGGAGCAGTGGATGTAGACCCTCACCAAGACCAGGTGTCTAAAGTTGGATATCCATGCTTCACACCATTGTTGAGTGCCTACTTGCCCGAACTTGGTGCAGCTGCCTGCTTCTGTGCATATTTCTGATACATGCCTGCTAAGATCATCCCCTGAGCTCTTCCGTTCTGAACTTTTGGACAAGCCTGAGTTCTACTTTAACTTCTGCTGACTCCTTGCCTGATACTCCTGCTTGCACGGTTCACTGGATCTTCCTGGTTGGCATCTCCAGTTCAAAGTTCTGCAAACTACATCTTCCAGCACTTGTGTTCCTTCTTTCTAAGGATTAAGGGGGGAGGGTGAACTAAAATTCAATGGAGACAGACAGGTCAGTTAGGGGTCAGACAACAATGGAGGGTGGAAAGGGGATAAGGACCCCTTGAGGGTTAGGGACCTTAGATTGTACTCCCCTTGAGGGTTAGGGTCTGATATGAATGTACAATATAT